GAGTTCAGGCCCCACGACCGACAAAAATAAATAAATAAATAAGCATTGCTTGCTATGCCTCTGTCATATCCTATCCCAAAAGCAGAGAGGAAGCTTTTCTTAGAAAGCCTGACTTCCTAAAAAAAGGAAGGCCATACAATTTGCAGTCTGGAAGTCAGAGGAAGCTGGAGGAAAAGTACACATGGGAACCTCAGGACTTGGAATTTTATACCCATGAAAGTGGCCTGGGCACACCTTTACCTTTCTGAGTCCAGAACCCAGTTCACTTAGCAGAACAAAAGGTGTCCCAGTGCTAGACTGGCCATTTGGAGGCTGATTTAGACAGAGATGAGAGATAGTATTTCCCTTATTCTAATCCATCCCTCTTCCTGACATTTCTCATGGCATCCATTTCACTCTGAATTTCCCAGGCATATGCACCCTCATCATTGTGAAATGCCTCTTAGCATACAAGCTTGCTGTTTATTTAATGAGCTATACTCTTCCAGTCAGCATTGTTAATGCGGGATGGGAAATGGATGGTGCTCAGGAATAGTAACCTCTTCACTCTCACTTTATTCGGTGACACACGGCACAGGTTTATCTCTGTGTGTGTGTGTGTGTGTGTGTGTGTGTGTGTGTGTGTGTGTGTGTGTGTGTGTGTGTGTGCTGGTACTAGGGCTCAGGTCCTTTCACTCGCCCTTGACTTTTTCAGCTCAAGGCTGGTGCTCAACCCCTTGAGCTACATCTCTACTTCTAGCTTTTTGGCTGGTTAATTAGAGATGAGTCTCACGGTTTTCTTTTGTTTTTGTGTGGCTTGGCTTCCAAAGGTGATCCTCAGATCTCAGCCTCCTGAGTCCCTGGGATTACAAGCATGAGCCACCAGTGACCAGGCAATATGCTTGTTAGTTACAACAAACATGACTGGAGCTAATTGAAAGCATTTCCTGGTCATATTAGAGTTAAAATTTTTCAAACGGATGGAGTTGAAAGGACTTCACATAAGGACATAGCAGGGTGGGGCCAAAAGGACTTACTTACGGGGACTGTCCGCTGGAGTCTAGCTTGGTGGGTCGGGCAGACTTCCTGGAGGCCAGGGCAGCCACGCGCCCCACGTCCCCCCGCTGCACAGCCTCCAGCAGTTTCTGATCACGGCGGTTCCATCTCTCCACCTAGGCAGCCAGCCACAAACCATGTGAATACAGAAGGGGATGGCGAGAGTCCATCCCAAGGAGAAGGGACATCCTCAAGGTCCCTTCATGGTTGCATAAGCCACTCAGCCTGGCTCATTTGGTCATAGATAGCAAAATATTAACCCATTTACACTACCAGCCAGGGACCTAACGAGAACTGGACCACAAGATTAAAAATGATTAGCCATAGCTGGGTGCCAGTGGCTCACGCCTGTAATCCTAGCTATTCAGGTGGCTGAGATCTGAGGATCATAGTTCAAAGCCAGCTGGGGCAAGAAAGTCTATGAGACTCTTATCTCCAATAAACCACCAGAAAACTGGAAGTGGCTCTGTGGCTCAAGTGATAGCCTTGAGCTGAAGAGCTGAAGGACAGCGCTCAGGCCCAGAGTTCAAGCCCCATAACCAACGAGAAAAAAAAAATTATTGGCCAGGAAGTATGGTGCATGCCTGTAATCCCAACACCCTACAGGCTAAAGCAGGAGAATCCTGATTTCAAGGCCAGTCTGGGCTATACAGGGAGACTTGGTATCAAAAACCAAACAAAAATATGGCATTATTGTCACATATGGAAATGCTGTTTCGAGTACATTTTGGGCTAGAAGTAGAAGTGTGGCTCAAGTGGTAGAGCACCAGCCCCTAGTGAAAGAGCTAAGGGAGAGTGTCTTGGCCCTGAATTCAAGTCCCAGTACTGGACTAGTGCTGGAGCTTGAACTCAGGGCCTGAAGCTTTTAGCTTCAGGTAGTTAATTAGACATAAAAGTCTCATGGACTTTCTGGCCTGGGCTGGCTTCGAACCTTGATCCTCAGATCTCAGCCTCCTGGGTAGCTAGGATCACAGGCATGAGCCACTGGTATCCGGCTTGTCTGCCTTTTTTTTTTTTTTTTTTTTGTCCTTAGAGAAGGAAATCAAGGTATCTAACTTTACATCACAGCGTGAAGTCCAAATCCTTAGCCATACTGACTCTACCACCATCAGCTTTGCATCTCACAATTGATTGGAGTGTCTAGGTTTCTGTTTTCCTGTATCATACCTAACTACCCTATTTCCTTTCTTTCTTTCTTTCTTTCTTTGGTCATGGTGCTTGAACTCTGGGCCTGGGCACTGTCCCTCAGTTCTTCAGCTCAAGGTAAGCGCTCTACCACTTGAGCCACAGTGCCACTTCCAGTTTTCTGGTGGTTTATTGGAGATAAGAGTTTCACGGAGGGGCTGGGAAGGTGGCTCAGTGGTAGAGCACTTGCCTTATATGCCTGAGGCCCTGGGTTCGATTCCTCAGCACCCCATAAGCAAAAAGAAAAAATCCGGAAGTGGCGCTGTGGCTCAAGTGGTAGAGCGCTAGCTTTGAGCTGAAGAGCTGAGGGACAGCGCCCAGGCCCAGAGTTCAGGCCCCACAACGGGACCCAAAAAAAAAAAAAGTTTCACGGACTTTCCTGCCCGAGCTGGTTTTGAACAGCAATCCTCAGATCTCAGCCTCCTGAGTAGCTTGGATTACAGGCATGAGCCACCGGCACCTATTTCCTTTCTTAAGGAAACAACAAGCAAAAGACAAAGAAGCAGGGGGGCTGGTGGCTCACACCTATCTACCCAGGAGGCTGAAATCTGAGGATCAGAATTTGAAACTAGCTTGAATAGAAAAGTTCTGAGACTCTTTTTTTTTTTTTTTTTTTTTAGTTTTTTTTTGGGTCCGGTCGTGGGGCCTGAACTCTGGGCCTGGGTGCTGTCCCTGAGCTCTTCAGCTCAAGGCTAGCACTCTACCACTTGAGTCACAGCGCCACTTCCGGCTTTTTTCTCTTTGCTTATATGGTGCTGAGGAATCGAACCCAGGGCCTCATGCATGCAAGGCAAGCGCTCTACCACTGAGCCACCTTCCCAGCCCAGGTCTGAGACTCTTATCTCTAACTAACCAGCAAAAAGCTAGAAGTGAAGGTATGGCTGAAGTGGCAAAGTACCAGCCTTGAGTGAAAAAGATAAGGAAGAACATTTTGGCCCTGAGATCAAGCCCCAGTACACACACACACACACACACACACACACGCACACACACGCACACACACACGGAAAAAAAGACAAAAGATTGGTCTCTAGCTGTGATGAGGAAGCCTAGAAGGTCAGAGGCAGTGGAGAACTGCCCTCTTCCTCTCCTCCCTCCTCAGTTCCCTGACAAGGAGCAGGTGTCTCCTACAAAAGCCACACGTCATACATTGTCCTCTCACTCCAGCTTGAGTTCTGCTATGGAGGCGTAATTATAATAATTGAAGTACTCCAGGGCGTGAAAGAGAGAGAGCTGTTAGAAGCACATAGGTCGGAAAGCACAGAGAAGCCTGGTTGGGCCCAGAATTCTTTGCTTTCTTTTCTGCCATGATCTTTGATATGGTGAAAAGGGCCCCAGATAAATATATTGTCAGCTGAGCTGGGTGTAGAACCTGGTTTGACTACATTCTCAGCTAGGTGACTTAAAGCCAGCCATCAAACACCTCGACCCTGTTTCTTCATCTATAAAATATGGATAATAATAACTACCTCATCAGTCTGTGCATATTAAACAAGCTAATATGTACATAATCTCTTTATAAACCATAGAGTCATATAAATGTATGACATCCTTATACTAAGACAGGAAGGAATGAGAAATTGGTGGTGGCACATTATGTTTTATGGAGTATAATCTCAACAACAAAAAAAGAGGCTATAAAAAGAGGTGAAGAAAATTAGTGCCCATGGAAGCCCAATAATTCATTTTCAAATACTGTTTTATAGGCAGGATAAACTATTAACCAATGACAGGGCAGATTTTTTTTTCTGGTACCTGGGGCTGACCTCAGGACTTCCGGTTTGATAGCTGAGCTTGGCTCAGAATTTAGAGCTTACAAGCTGGGCATCAGTGGCTTACACCTGTGATCCTAGCTACTCAGGAGGCTGAGATTGAGAATCAAGGTTCAAAGCCAGCCTAGGCAGGAAAGTCTATGAGACTCTTATCTCCAGTTAACCACCAGAAAACCGGAAGTGGTGCTATGGCTCAAGTGGTAGCATGCTAACCTTGAACTGAAGAGCTCAAAGACAGCACCCAGGTCCACAGTTCAAGCCCCAGGACCAACCAAAAAAAAAGGAAAAGAACTTAGAGCTTGCTTATTTTGCTCCTTCATACGCTTTTACCACCTGAGCGTAGCTTTTTGCTGGTTAATTGGAGATGCAGTTTTTCAGACTTTTCTACCTGAGCTGGCTTTGATCTGTGCTCCCTTAGGTTTCAGCCTCCTGAGTAGCTAGGATATAGGCATACCACTGGATCCCAGCTTGAATCTAATCTTTTTTCCCCCCAGTCATAGGGCTAGAAATCAAGGCCTGGGTGCTAAATTAATATTTTTTGGCGGGGGAGGGGTGGGGGGTGGGTCTTGAGACCTGAACTCTGGGCCTGGCCTCTGTCCCTCAGCTGTTCAGCTCAAGGCTAGCACTCTACCACTTGAGCCACAGCGCCACTTCCGGCTTTTTTTATTTTGCTTATGTGGTGCTGAGGAATCGAACCCAGGGCCTCATGCATGCAAGGCAAGCACTCTACCACTGAGCCACCTTCCCAGCCCCCTAAAGTAATATTTCTATGCAGAACTTATAGCAACTGGAAGTGTTGTTTAAGTGATAGCAAGCACAAATTCTTCAGTTCAATCTGTATCATCACCAAAAAAAAAAAGTAAAACTTGTAAAACTTTGTGGTCTTTTCAATTAGCTTCTCTATATCATTGGAAAATAATTAAGGGTGATATCACCTTATGTCTTGGAGAGAGAAAAGAAATCAGAAACACACTGATATTAGAGCATGGTCCAAGATCATATAGAAAGAGTGGGCATGATCTGAGGATTGTGGTTCAAAGTCAGCCAAGGCAGGAAAGTTTGGGAGACTCTTATCTCCAATTAACCATCAGAAACCCAGAAGTGGTGTTATAGTTCAAAATGGTAGAGAGCACTAGCCTTCAGCAAAAGAGCTGAGGGATAGTGCCCAGGCCCTGAGTTCAAGCCCCATGACAGACCCTCCCCCCCCCAAAAAAAAAAGGAAGAAGAAAAGAGTGGTCACATTGGAATTAGAACCCAGGCTAGCTGATCCCCAGTCCTATTTCTGACTATTACAAAGAAAAAGAGTTAGCTGGATGCTGGTGACTCACGCCTATAATCCTAGCTACTCTGGAGGCTGAGATCTGAGGATCGCCAGTCAAAGCTAGCCCAGGCAGGAAAGTCCATGAGACTCTGATCTCCAATAAACCACTAGAAAACCGGAAGTGGTGCTGTGGCTCAAGGGGTAGACCACTAGCCTTGAGCTGAAGAGCTGAGGGACAGTGCCCAGGCCCAGAGTTCAAGCCCCAAGACTGACAAAAAGAAAAAAGAAAAAGGGTTACTTGTTTCCAGATACACACACTTCTCAGCTTGCCTTAGGGTGCAGCCGCCCACCCTCAGTTGCTACTCCCTGGGGAGATGTCTCCAAACAGGTTCTTTCTCAAAGGACAAAGTAAGCAAAATAACTCCCCATACTAACAGACTCTGACATGTAACAACGCTGTACCCTGGGAACCAGGTCACACTCGGGAACACAGAGGCCTCCGCCACACAGCACTGCCATCAAATGACCTCAGCTTGAAGTTCTCTGGCTCAAGCCTTTTTTTTTTTTCCTTCTGTAGACAGGGGCTCATGCTATATAACCCAGATTGGTGGAACTTGCAATCCTCCTTCCTCCACTTCATGAGTGCTGGGATTACAGATGTGTGCCACCACACCAGGCTCTAAAGTCTTTTTTTCTTTCTCTCCTTTCTTTCTTTCTTTTCTTTCTTTCTTTCTTTCTTTCTTTCTTTCTTTCTTTCTTTCTTTCTTTCTTTCTTTCTTCTCTCTCTCTCTCTTTCTCTCCTTTTTCCTTTTTTCTGTGCTGGTACTGGGGCTGAGATCTGAGGATGACAGTTCAAAGTCAGTCTGGGCAAATAAATCCAAGAGACTCAATTAATCAGTAAAAAGCAGGAAGTAGAGGTGTGGCTCAAGTGATAGAGTACCAGATACAAGCAAAAGAAGTCAAGTGAAAGTGAGAAGAATTGAGTTCAAGCCCTAGAACCAGCACACACAAAAAGGAAAAACAATAATAAACAAACAAACAAGAACAAGAAACAGCCGGGTGCCAGTGGCTCAGGAGGCTGAGACCTGAGGATCGTGGTTCAAAGCCAGCCTGGGCAGGAATCTCCAATTAACCACAAGAAAACTGGAAGTGGCACTGTGGTTCTAGTGGTAGAGTGCTTGCCTTGAGCTGAAGAGCTGAGGGACAGCACCCAGAGTTCAAGCATCATGACTGACAAAAAAAAAAAAAGATCAGAAGCATAAGAGATTGCTTTCAAATTCCAAGATCCAATTCATCCCTTAGCACATTGGATAGAAATTGGATAGCCATCATAACTCCCAGGGAGCAATCACCAAAGTAATCATCAAATCGAGTAACAAGTTCATTATTCCCATAGCTGAGATTAGGAGGCCTTTGTCGAAGTAAGTATACCCTTTCCTATCTGTGGCTGTGGTACCTGTCAGCATCCTATCAAGATGGAAGGTAGTGACGGACACAAGGGCTACTCTTGCAGAACAGGTGAATGGAAATGGAAAAGCTGCCCTGAGGATCCAGGCAGGATCTCACAACACTTCAAATGAAACTGATCTGGCATCAATATTTAAAGCTATTCAGTGATCTGCTTTTTGGTCTATTACCTACCTAGGTAGAGTAAGCTCATATGTAAGATGCTTATGAAGATATTCTGTACTTTAATAAAATAAAATGAGATTTTAGGAGATGTGTCTGTGTCTGTATGTATGCTTAAACTTGGCTTTGAGCTCTTGTTTTGTATTTTTCACTCATAGCTGGCACTTTGCCACTTGAACCTAGCTCCATTTCTGGCTTTTTGCTAGTTAATTGGAGACAAAACTCTTTCAAATTTGTCTGCTTCCATCCTTCTGAGAAGCTGAGCCACCAGCACCTGGCTGCATAGACTAATTTTAGGATAATCACTGCTCTTTTTGTCCTTCCCTCAGAGGGCGCAGGACTTTGAGTTGGACTCAGGGATCTGAGCTGGGATAGCGTGAGGTAACTCCTGGCACCAGCAAGAGGTTAGGTTGTTAGAGTTGCCAGAAAAAACTCATAGCATTCCTCTGACAAGTGGGCCCAATGTTGTTAACCCCCAAAGAAGTGGAGGAAATGATCATCAGACAAGTGGGAAGATTTCATGAAGAAACAACTTATAGCAGACCCTGACCTATTATATTTTATTTTAAAATTTTTATTTTTATTTATGACTCTAGATGGTTACTAAGCTTTCTGCATACCCAAGACTCAGCAATAGGTTTCATTTTTAGATGGCTCTAAATCCATCCTCTACTTTCAGACCCTCACCACCCTAAAATCTTGTTATACTAAGAAGAGTTTAGATTCTCCTGGTGATCAAACCTCAGGCCAGCGAGACTCAAGAAAGACAAATGTTTGAGTGCTGGTAGCTCATACTTGTAATCCTAGGTACTCAGGAGGCTGAGATCTGAGGACTGAAGTTTGAAATCAGTCCTGACAAGAAAGTTTGTGAGATTCTTATTTCCAACTAACCACCAAAAAGTCAGAAGTAGTGGTAGAGTATCGGCCTTTTGGGAAAAAGCTAAGGGACAGTGTTTAGGCTCTGACTTCAAAGCCCAGTACTAGCATATGCACACACAAAAAGTTTAGAATGGGCTTTTCTAATGATAAAGTTTCAGGACAAAAAAGAAAACACCTCAGGACATCTAGAGTCAAGAAATACCCAAAAATGGTTCTAAAACTCCAAGATCCAGCCATTACTCTGTACTCGAGAGGAGGCCCTGCCCAGAGACTGGAAAATCAGGAAGAATGAAATAGTTCCTCATTCCCAAGCACAAACCTGAGAAGGAAGGGATGTTGGGGATTTTAATTAGATAGTCTGTATGAATGAATAGGAAAATCATTATAAATTATGACAGGATCTAGGCACCCATAATTAAAATTGCTTTTGACAAGTTGGTCAATGTAAAGAAACTAAATGGAGGAACAAATGGAAATAGGACAGGACAGGTCTCAACAGCGTTCCTACTCTTGCCTCACAACTTTCTTCCTAGTTTCTGTGACCTGCCCATGCAAAGTAAGCTAACTGAGCATTTCTCATATTTGCTTACAAATAAATGACACCACTAAGCCATGCCAACCAAACAATGTTACTATGAGTAGCTGGCTCATTCACTTCTGAATGATCTCTATCCCAACCTCCAGAGAAAATTCTATTCCCAGATTTGGAGAAGGGAAGGGGAGGGTCTGTCTATAAGAAATTTTCAGAGAAGGAGAAGCTATATCCTTTCTGAGTTACTATCTTCTTTATTTATTGTTTCCGTTCCAGCACTGGGCCTTGAACTCAGGGCCTGGGCACTGTCACTTAGCTTTTTTTGCTCAAAGGTGGTGCTCTACCACCTGAACCACAGGTCCACTTCTGGCTTTTTGGTGTAAGAGTACTTTCTTGTTCAGGCTGGCTTTGAACTGAGATCCTATCTTAGCCTCTTGAATAGTTAGGATTACAGGCTAGAGCCCCCAGCACCTAGCTTAAATACTAGTTAGTATCTAAGTTACTTTAATACAGTATCTTCATTAACCTTCTGTTTTGTTCCAGCAGAAGCTAGAAACTAGTGTGGCCTGCTAGGAATTCTCATGATGTGTCTGCTCTAGCATCTTCCCTTTTCTTCACTCAATCAAAGAAAACAGCAAATTAAGTCATTAACAACTGGGTATGGGTTCAGAGTAAGAGTCTGGAGAGAAACAGACAGAAAGCCTTGACTAGCCCACATACCAGTCTGATGAGCATACTGCACTGAACTGGCCAGAGTAGATTCTGCAGGAGAATCACACCATCCTTTGAGAAGCAGCCAGGCACAGCTGTGCATCCTTTGGCAGTCCCTGTCAGGCTAGCTAGCCTGAAAGACTGACCCACAGTGAGCAAGCAAAAGGGAGATCCAGAGTAAAAGGGAGGTTGGGTAGAAATGAGTGTCCCTTGGGCTGAGTGGGACACAGATTGAAGGAAAGAACAGAAAGTGCAGCCGAGTGCCAATGGCTTATGCCTGTCATCTAGCTGCTCAGGGGGCTGAGATCTGAGGATCATGGTTTCAAAGCCAGTCGGGGAAGGGGAGTCCATGAGACTCTTATCTTCACTTAAACACCAAAAAGCTGAAAATAGAGTTGTGGGCTTAAGTGGTGGAGTGCCAGCCTTGAGCAAAACAAAAGCTAAGGGATAGTGCCCAAGCCCAGAGTTCCAGCCCCTGTACACACACACACACACACACACACACACCAAAACTGCTGTTTTGAGAGCTCATTTGGAAAGAGTTTTGGGTGATGCCCGAGGTTCAGTAGTGTAGGTGAGGGTATGGGAAAGGGTTGGTGAGATGGACAGAGAAGACTGTGAAGGAGGGTTATGAGAGGCTGTGGGGCTGAGTGTAGTACCTGCTGGGCGGGAACAAATGGGAAGGATGGGGCCAGGTGGGAGGAGAAGGCAGGGTGGAAGTGAGGCAGTAGGTAAGGAACCGAAGATAGGGGGGTGAACAGAGCCAAAGCCTGAGGAGGGGCCAGGCAAATGCTGGTGGCCTTTTGGGACTGACAGACACAGCAGTAGAGAACAGGGCCTTGGGATGATGACAGGGCTGCAGAGAACCTTCCAGAAGTTGGGAGTAGGGGGAGATGCTGAGTGGGACAAGAAAGCAGCAGCGAAGCACAAGACGGTGGGGAAGGAGGACGCTCCGAAGCGGGTCGGAGGCTGGGGGTCCGGTCTGGGGGCACAGCGGCGTCAGGTCAGCGAGGCTGGCGGGCTGCCCTGCGGAAGCGCTGGGCAGACCACGGGAGCTGAAGGCCGCCGTGGTGCACGAAGCTGGGACTCGAGATTTCTGCCAGCAGAGGTCTCGAACCCAGACCCGGGCCACACACGCTGGCACCTACCGCCACTTGTGAGCTGGAGCAGGAGAAGATGCGCTTCATGGCCGGAGCCAGGGCCGCGGGAGGACGGGGACGCGTGGAGAGCCGGGCACCGCTGCCCAGACCCGGGGACTCAGCGCCAGCCAGGGCGGAGACGGCTGTCAAAAAGCAGAGAGCGGCCCCGCCTCAGGCCCCGCCCAGACCCCCACACTACCCAATCAGGGACGAGAAGGCGAGGGCTGGGCCTGAAGCTCCGCCCCACGCACCAAACCCCGCAGTCCGCCCTGCAGTGTGCACCTCCCCTCTTTCGGGGCCGGGTCCCGGGCCTCGCCTCGCAGTGTGCACCGACCTCCCCCGAAGCTCGCCTCATTCCCGCCCCTCCCAGAACGGTGAGGAGGCAGGTGAACCCCGGCTTCCCAGGGAGGGCTCTTACAGGCGGTGAGGACACTTCATTACACCCAGGGGCCTCTGCTTCTTCCCCTCCTCCAGCATCCCCGCCCCATGGGAACAAACCCCAAGCACCCAAGAGGACTTAAAGAGAGCTTTGGGAACCAGGAGGAGGTCGCTGTGCCTGAACACAGATAAGACCGGGCCCCCGCTGCTACCTGGGGGACAAAACCTGAGGGAAAGGGGGTCAAGACCAATTTTCTAACCCAACTTTGACTTAGGAAGGGGCAAAGAGAGGATTTTTATCTTAGCATTCCCTCTCTGAAAAAAACAGCAGCAACAACAAAATACAAACCCGATCTTTCCTGTCTTCACTCCCTTTTGAGACTTTTGGTTGGGGGTGGGGGATGGTGGAGAGTACAAGGGCTTGAACTCAGGGCCTGGGTGCTGTTCCCCTCGAGGCTGATGCTCCACCCGTTGCTTTTCTGGTTAGCCAGAGATAGTCTCCGGGACTTTTCTGCCCAGGCTGATTTCAAACTGAGAACTTCAGATCTTAGCCTTCTGAGTAGCTAGGATTACAGGCTGGAGCCACCAGCACCAGGTTCTAATAGATTTACAGAAAACTACCCCTAGAAAAGTTAAATCTGTCTGAGGTCAAACAGGTTTGAAGCAGTATAGCCTACATTTAACTCCAAAACTGTTTTCATTATTAACAACTGTACTGAATAGCATCTTACAGTCATCTGAGCCTCAGTGATGTTTATTTAAGGCTAATAAATAAAAGATGGGTGATTTCAATATAGGCCTCTTTGGGTTTTTTTGTTTTTGCCAGTCCTAGGGCTTGAACTCAGGGCTTGGGCACTCTCCCTGAGCTTCTTTTGCTCAAAGTTAACACTCTATCACTTGAGACACAGCACCACTTCCTGCTTTTTCTGTGTATGTGATACTGAGGAATCAAACCCAGGGCTTCATGCATGCTAGGTAAGCACTCTACCACTAAGCCACCTTCCTAGCCTTCTGTACTTCCTGAACCTACACACCTTATACTCTTTAGTCCTATAAGTAAATGAGAATTACAGGAGGCTATAGCACATTTCACATGGGAGAATCACAGAAAATAATCAAAATATACTTTATAACTTTCTCTTCTAGGAAATCTACTTTTTTTTTTGTCCATTATGGAGCTTGAACTCTGGGTCTGGGCGGTCCCTCAGCTCTTCAGCTCAAGGCTAGTGCTCTAGCACTTGAGCCACAGCACCACTTCCAGCCTTTTCTGCTTATGTGGTGCGTGCTGAGGAATCGAACCCAGGGTCTCCTGCATGTAAGGCAAGCACTCTACCACTAAGCCACCTTCCCAGCCCTAGGAAATCTATAATATAAAGACACAGGCAAGCTGGGTGCTGGTGGCTCATGCCTATAATCCCAACTGAGATCTGAGGATTTGTGGTTCAAAGCCAGCCCGGGCAGTAAAGTTCATGAAACTTGTATCTCCAATTAACCACCAAAAAAGCTGGAAGTGGAGGTGTGGTTTGACGGGTTGAGTAACAGCTTTGAGCATAGAAGCTAAGAGATAGTGTCTAGGCCTTGAATTAAAACTCAGGTACCAGTACAAACAAAAAGAATCAGATAAAGTAAAAATTTGCCCACCATTTACTCACCATTTTTGAGCAGGCCATATCCTAGGAAACTCAAACAGAGTCAGAAGTCATTTGACACTGAACTTTATTTGTCCTCACCATCTGATATATTGTCTACTCTGCTGGGAAACAGACAATGCCCAGGGAGGTAGCCCTCTGCCGAAGGTCAGATGCATACCAAAATAAACATTCATCCAGGCCTCAAGAACAGCCTGGAAAGACAGGTTCCCTGGCCAATATTCCCCTTATGCAACTGAATCTTTGCTCTGTCTAACTTGAAATGAGTGCTGATTCTTCCAGTGCTAAATCAGAGTTGCACTGTGGAGACCAATTACTGATTTTGGTATCCAAAATCCTGATGACACAAAAAGAAACCAAGTTTCTCAGTATCTCTGAAAATCAAATTGCTGGCTGAGTGCTCATGACCATAAACCTAGCTACTTGAGAGTCTGAGATCTGAGGAAGCCAGCTTGGGCAGGAAAGGCCATGAGACTCTTATCTTCAATTAACCAACAAAAAGCCAGAAGTAGAACTGTGTCTCAAGTGGTAGAATGCCCACCTTGAGAAAAAAAAAAAAACTAAGCAAGAGTGAAAGGCCTTGAGTTCAAGCCCATCAGCACATTTAAAAAAAAACACTAAAAAATAATTTTGGGAAAAAAAGTGAGAAAATCCAATTTTCTTTGCTGGTTGTGACCAAGATAGAAGCAAGACCGGTGGTTTAAATATAGAATTTACTTTGGGGGTTTCCAGTAAACATCACATAAGAGCTGACAAACTGATTCTATCATAAAAACCCCTTTAAAAAATGACCAAGGTGGGGCTGGGAAGGTGGCTCAGTGGTAGAGCGCTTGCCTTGCATGCATGAGGCCCTGGGTTGGATTCCTCAGCACCACATAAGCAAAAAGAAAAAAAGCTGGAAGTGGTGCTGTGGCTCAAATGGTAGAGCGCTAGCCTTGAGCTGAAGAGCTGAGGGACAGCGCCCAGGCCCAGAATTCAGGCCCTATGACCGGACCCCCCCCAAAAAATGACCAAGGTTGCTCCAGAAACATTGCCCTAGGAGCTATGTATGCTATAATGCTATACAGTCGAAGATGGACACGTGAGGGCTTGTTTCTGAGAGCTCAGCCTAGTGTCTGGCTTTTAAATGTCAATCTCATGGATGGACAAGGAAAAGGTTCTTCCCATGGTCAAGTAGTAATCCTCACGCTTCAGTCTTGGTACAGTTAAAGAGGGAGGCCCAGGATAACTGGACACCAGAAGCTCGTTCTTATAATCCTAGCTACTCAGGAAGCTAAGATCTGTGAATCATGGTATAAAACTAGCCTGTGTCGGAAGGTCTGTCTAATCTCCAGTTAACCACCAGAAAAGCTGAAATGGAGCTGTGGCTCACGTGGTAGAATGCTAGCCTTAATTGAAAAAAATAAGCAAGAGTGTCAGGCCCTGAGTTCAAGCCCTAGTACACACACACACACACACACACACACACACACGCACGTACACACACATACATGCACATATACCACACACACAGAGGCACACGCACACACACTGCCTAGGGTATCCTGTCTTCTCTGCTATTTTAGCTTTAGCCACTTGGGGGACCCTTGGCTCCAGGAAAAAAAAAGTCAGGTCTTCCAAGGAAGGCCGAGGCTTGGGAAGGTGGTGCCAGCAAGCCTAGAGGCAGCTCTGTTTCCCCAGCACCTGAGGGCAGGCAAGTGTACCACGGAGTCTCAGGTTTCAGGCGTGGATGGCAGTTGCCTGTCTAAAAGCCTCTCTGTTCCTTGGGATTGTACAGAATGTCTCTTGTGGCTTTTCCTCCTCCCTCCTTTTTTCCTGTGGACTCTCCCCATCCGCTCTATGAATCACTTAGGCTCCACAGGAAAGCAGCAGATGTTGACTTTACTTCTTTCAAGCCAATGTCAGCTCCCTCCTGTAGAGTGAGGAGGAGGCAGGAAGGTAAAACACACACACACACACACACACACACACACAGCAGGGGAATGGAGGAAGATAACCTGGAGGACTCCTCCTTAACAAAGTATAAGACAGGATAAGGGAATGTGAAAGGAGTCAGGGACACAGGCAAACATTCTTTTGATTACTGGAGATGGGGACAAATAGGCCCCGGAAAACAAAGACCCCAATGTTGACTAGGGAATGGGATCGCAAGGAGGGAAGCCCGGGGTGGGAGGACGCCTGCGTTCGGTGCCAGCCCTTCTTGTCTGAGGTAAAGTCTCATCTCTTGCCAAGAGTATCACCAAGTAAGACTGCAGGTCTGGGGAGAGAGTCCAGAAGCTTCTTCTTGTCCCTGCTGACTTCTCAAACCGATCTTCTCTTTTCACAAGGCTCTTGAAGAAGCTGCCAGGAACGGGGTTTTGGAGCCTTATTGTACATTCATTGCTCCATGTTCTCTTTTCTTTTTTCCTCCCCGGGTACTTTCTTACGGGCAAAGAAGCCAAGCTATAGAAGAAGAGAGAAGAGCCCTTGGCACGTACCCTGATTGGGACTCTTGCCCGCAGCCCACAGACTGATCTGCAGTCTTCACTTTTGTTCTTCAAAAATATGAGGTTCAGATTTATTTTATTTGGCTTTGTAACTCAATCAACATTTGTGTAGTGCGGTGCAAGCGATCTGGGCATGACACCAACAGACTGTCCAGCTACCTGGCACGAGTCCTGTCCAACTGTGGGTGCCATGCTCCCCATTTCTCATTACACGCGTGCCTACCTTCCACAGGCAGAAGACAAGGACAGCAAGCAGGAGTAGCCCACCCAGGATGCTGCCGAGAAGGATCCACAGGGAGATGAGGACAGGACGAGTCTGAATCACCTCGAGCAGGCTCTGATGGGAAGAGAATTGTGTGGGGGGGGGGGATGTGCACGCGTGCGTGCACGCACACATGCACAGGTGTCTGTGTCTGCACATGCGCATGCCATTAGAGAGCATGAACTCAGGGCCTCTCCTTCTTACTTGGCTTTTTCCACTTAGGGCTGGTGCTCTATCATTTGATAGAGCACCACTTCTGTTTTGTGTTTTTCTTTTAACTTGTGAATTGGAGAAAAGAGTCTCATGGACTTTTCAGCCTGAGATGGCTTGGAACCATGATCCTCAGATCTCAGCCTCCTGAGTAGCTAGGATTACAGGCGTGAGCCACCAGTACCCAGTAAGAGTTGTTCTTCATATGAGGCATCTATTCAGCTCTCTTAACCCCATATTATAGCAAAGCCTGCCCCCATAGGGAACCTTAATACAGGAATACTAATGCTCATCATTTCTGACTTACCTGCTGCTTCTTAGCAGAGGTATTTTGACTCTGAAAAAGCCTCCTCTCTTACCCCATCCCGTCACCATTGTTTTCACACTCTCATTGTTTTCCAGCCCACCTCACTCCTGCAGGAGGCTTCAGTCAGCTTCAGGACACTGCCTTCCTCTGTTCCCAGCTCAAAGCTGCTCACCACTGTCAGAGACTTGAACTTGGCCTGTGAAGAGTGGTGGGAGGACATGTGAAAAGAGCCATCAGGCTCGTGTCTGTAATTCCACCTGCTTAGGAGGCTGAGATCTAAGCATTGTCGCTTGAAGCCTACCTGGGAAGGAAAGCTATGAGACGCCAATTGGCCAGCAAGGAGCTGAAGCGGAGGGGTGGGGTCAAGTGGGAGAGTGCCAACCTTGAGCATAAAAGCTAAATGAGAGCTTAAGGCCTTGAATTCAAGCCCCAGGAGTGGCAGGCAGGCGCGCGCGCACACACACACGCACACACGCACGCACGCACACACGCACGCACGCGCGCGCACACACACGTTAGGAAGAAGAACATAGAGAAGATTAGAGAGATGAATGACTTGTTCATGGTCCAATAGCCAGCAAGAAGCAAAACTGAAATTTTTACATGGGTTTGTTTACCTCCAAAATGGATGTCAATGTGTCAGACAGAAGCAGGAGGGGAGAAGAGGAGGAAAGGCTTACCCTCCGAAAGAATTCATTGTGGATCAGCCTCAGAACTCCAACAGAGACCTCAGCTCCCTTTGCCAGCTGCCCCAGGTGGCATCTCACCACCTGACACTGCGTGTTGCTCAAATTCTATGAGAAGAGAGACCAGATCAGGATCCTGTATAAAGGCTTCCCACACTCCCCTCCCCACACCTTGCTCTGCTTGCATTCTTGTTCTGGACACCCACTCCCGATTCATACCAGCCTGTTCGTGTGCTGAAGGTCCTCTGGATGCACAAGGGACCCTGGTGGCTCCGTCAGGTTCTGGACTATGCAGCTTGCCTATGGAAACACCCTTCTGAGCCAGAGCCTGGTGGCTCACATCTATAATCCCAGCTACTCAGGAAGCTAAGACTTGAGGATCATGGTTCAAAGCCAGCCTGGGCAGGAAAGTTCATGAGAATCCTGCCTCTAATTAACCACCAAAAAAGCTAGAAGTAGGAGCTGTGGCTCAAGTGGTAGCCTTGAGTAAAAGGAGCGTAGGGACAGTGCCCAGGCCCTGAGTTCAAGCCCCAGGACCAGCACACACATATACACAAGAAATAGATGTTGTTGTTGTTGTTGTTATTATTATATTAAAAGAAAGATCTCACAGGAAGAGGAGCCCTGAGAGCAGCCAGCCTAGGGAAGTAGTACAAAATCTGTGGCTTCAGTGAGTTCACCAGCTCAAGGCAGCCAGGTTCCACATGCTCTAGCCCACCCAGACTCACATTGCTCGTGACGACTTGGGATAGAGACAGGAAGTAATTGCCCCCATGGGCTGCAGCTGGAAGGAGGGCAGAGAGGATGAGGCCACGGACCACATAACAACCGAGGTTCTGAACCTGGGAGAATTGGAAATGGTAAGGGACACCATTGAAATCCATCAGAAATTCTCCCCATCCTTTCTCCACAGAGCAATTGCTCCTCCCTACCCTCACCCCCACTGTCAGCTTCTCACCCTGAGAGTGGTTTTGAATTCAGGGCCAGGATTCATTGGGAGAGTCCGGTAGGGGTGAACCTCATAGCGGTGCAGAGTGGACTCACTATGTAGACACCAAGTCAGGAAGTACAAGGTGACAGCCATGACGCAGGGACACAGGATCAGGGAAGGCAGGAACAGCACATGGAAAAAGTGTACAAGGATTAAAAAGACATGGAGGGCTGGGAAGGTGGCTCAGTGGTAGAGTGCTTGCCTTGCATGCCTGAGGCCCTGGGTT